AATAAAGTCTAAAAAAATGTTTAAAATACGAGTTCCTCCGTGCATCACACGGGATATACACTAGTTTGCATATGAAAACAAAAACTTACAATGTGTTAAACATGATGCAATTAGTGAATATCAAAATGGACCATAATTTTTGGCGGAATTACAAATACTATATATATATTTATTATAGAAATAATTTGAGAAATACATAGTAATGTTAATTAAAATACACATCATTTAAATTCTTCCAAAATTGAAATGCACATAAAAAATACACACTCGATAGACAACACAATAATATTATATTAGATGCACGTCTATATATGTGTACTTGCACTTTATCGAGTTTGGTTGTTGCATATCGATTTCGTACATTATACTTTTCAATAAAAAATAATACAAAAATTATAAATAAAAATAGTAACATACTAAATATTATTTTAACATAAATAATAATAATTTCAATTATTTATGATAATTCAGCTGACCGATCGAATAAATCAAATAATTCAATTCTGTTTCAATTTAACTTGGGACAAAAGTTCGTTCAAAACAATGTGCACAAAACCGGCCGGCACAATGCACCATTGTGTTAGAGGATTTGCACATTAATATTTGCTAGATTGCACTTTATATTTTGTTTATATAGATTATTATATTTTTTAATAAGAAAAAAAATATAATATAAATTATTAAATCCACAATATTACAACGCTAATTATGTTTTTATAATACAAATAATATTTATTCCTATTATTCCGAATTCGACGTCCTCTTGGTCGATTAAACCAAACCGACCGATGTTCCGACCAATTGATTAGTATTTAATTTTGTGAAAATGTAACGAATTTTATAATGTGCTTGTAAATTCGCAATATCGTGCATATAACGTGTTGTTAACATGCGATATATTAAACTTTTGATAAATTACAAAATTGTCCCAATATTAAAATACCATCTAATTTAAGTTTTAAAATTGCATAAACTTACACAAATTATTTAGCATAAAAAATACATTTACTAATACACATTATACAAAAATTTACTAATAATAATACACAAAAAAACAAAAAAAAAACAAAAAAAAAAAAAAAGGAAATTTCAGTCATTACACGCACACACATACATACAATACACACACACATAGGATGCAGCTGCCCGCCCATCGCCGCTCTCCCGTCTTCCGGTCGTCTTTTCCGGCCAGCGACGCTGCCGCCGTGACGGCGTGACCTCACAACCTGTAAACATGTCTTGGAGGGTTGTGCCGGCCGGAGAATGTCGATTTGGGGACTGTAGATCCGGTGGAAATAAGATCCGGACATCGACTCTCAAACCGTGCAATCGAGATGCTAGGTTTCGCCATTTTTGCTTTGAGTTCTGTGACGGCGGGCGGAGGAGAAAATGAAAGACGGACCAGGAAATGGAGTCCATCGACGGGCCGGCGAAGGGAGGTGGTCAGTCGTTGGACTGAGGGCCGGCGGCTGGCGGCGGAGATGTGGCTATGACCGGGGTGCCTGCGATTGTGAGTGTACCCGTGTGTGTAGAATTGTGTGTGTGGGAGAGAAAGAAAGAGAGAGAGAGAGAGAGAGAGAGAGAGAGAGAGAGAGAGGGTTTGTTGGAGGGTGGGTAGGTGATTGACAGGCAGGGGTAGAGGTAGGTGATTGGGTTTAATGTGGGAGGTGGTGGGCCCCATATATTTGTGTGTTTTAATCAAATGTCTAAATTATCCTTAATTATTGGTCAAATGTATATATTTGACCACAATATGATCAGATAATTACTAGATTGCCATTAATGATTGACTATAGTTTGACTTCATTGTAACCATTAATATGATTGATCTCATGGTCCAAATTTATTCTCATTTCTTTCACTATCTATTATTCTCATGTGATCCCAACTCTCTCTCTCTCTCTCTCTCTCTATATATATATATATATATAGAGAGAGAGAGAGAGAGAGAGAGAGAGGTGATCATATGAGAATGATAGATAGTGAAAGAAATAAGAATGTATATATATATATAGAGAGAGAGAGAGAGAGGGGATCATATGAGAATGATAGATAGTGAAAGAAATAAGAATGATCATGGACAATTGGATCCAACAAGTCAATGGCTATGATCAAGTCAAATATTAATAATAGTAGTCAAACATGGGATGGCATTCTTGTAAATAAATGTTCAAATTGTAGTCAATTATTTACATTTTACCATTCATTAAGGATAAAGTGGTCATTTTAAATAATTACAACTCAACAGTGGGACCCATCTTTATCTACCACCTAGTACCTAATGACTTTCTCTCTCTCACAATTCACACAAAACACACACACGTGTCTAACACACGTACACACACATTGTCAATACACACAGATAAAAGAACTCACACACATACACAACCACCTAGAAACAGTCCCGTCGCTTAGAGACGGGCTGCCGTCCGGCGACGGTCGCTGCCCCCGACCCACACACAACTCAGGCGACGCCGGACATCACCATCGACAACCTTGGATTCCGACCGCCGCCACCAAAACCGCAGCCGTCGGTCCTGTCAACACTGCCACATCCTGCCACGGCTCCACCCCCACCGGCTCGACCACCGCCCCAATCTGTCCGTCAAATTCACATCCACCACGCCGTCGACAGTCCGGCGCAAGTCTCCACCACCGACTTCCGACTCCTCCATCAAACACCTCGCGCGAAGCCGCCGGGTCTCCAGCACCCTGTGTTAATCGACAACTCCTCCGTCGCCACCGCCGTCGCGTGTATAAGTTCCGGCCGACTCAAGTCCGCCATGCGTCCTTTGCATCGCAGGATTCCTATGGCCCTGTTCCACCGACACTTACAGTGACCACCACGAACTGCTGAGTTGAGCACCTCCGGCAAGGGAGGATCGGATTCGGGCCGATTGCAATGGCGTGATGTGGGAATATTTTGCAGGCCGATTTCAATGGCGCGATGGTTAGGTGTAGGTGAATTTCCCGATTTTTCATGCCGATTTCAATGTTGCAGGTGTAGGTGAATTTCAAAATTAGGGTTAGGTTAGGTGTGATTTAGTTCCACCGGGACTTTTCCACAGTCGTCTGACCACCTTGCGTCGTGATTGCAGAGATCGACAGCCGACGAGAAGATGCTCTTTCAATTGGAAGCCCCTTGCCGGATCTATAGTTGTAGGTGTGAATAAGGCCCACAAATCGTCAGTCTCTGGCACCACCATAAAAGGACTACCATCCCTAGCCGCAGGTAACAACGTCACTGCCACAATGTCCTGACAAGATAAATGTAGCTGCAGTCTGGCCGAATTTTATTTTTTATTGGGGGTCATATTTTGTGAATTTGACAAGTCATGGGGGACATATTTGCAATTTAAAACTGTTAATCTATATTTCAAATTAATATTTGGAGCCAATTTATTAATTTAATGAAAGTTCAATTCATGCACATTAATGATACATAAAATGCACGACATCATATGAGTAAATGCACATTAAAAAACATACATATTTAAACGTAATTACATACTTGAAAGCGCCTACACATTAATTTCACAGATTTACCAAAATCCCACCTCGCTTAGTGTTGTTATCGGTTCGACCGAAATGATCAATCGAAATGTTCATAATGAAATAACCGAGTCTAACTTTTGGACAAATCTGAACCGACTGAATTTTTATTCTGTACCAAAATAAATTCCGAATAGAAATGATCGATTTATTCGGTCGATTATTAGATTTAACCTAAATAACCAAATTCAAATGTTATTCTATATTTACAAAGTTTTAGGACTAACTGAATTTTTGTTGAATACCAAAATAAAAAACATAACAGAAATGATTGATTTATTCGGTCGGTTGTTCGATTTAACCTAAATAGCTGAATTAAATTGTTATTTATATTTATAAAGTTGTAGTTAGTATCTTAATATTTTATTTAGTATTTCAATATTATTTTACATAAAATATAACAAAACAACAATAGGATTTCTAATTGAAATACCGAATTTTTAAAAGTAAAAATCAACTGAATTGATAAAAAAAGGAAATTCTTACATGCGCTCTAGAAGGTACCACAGCGACAAGTAAAATCCACAATAATTAATGTGAAACAATATATAACTAAGTAATAATGTACTTTTTATTTTTCCCGAGTGCTTATTGAGCAAAATGTTACGATAATGTGCTTACACACAGAGATTAATTCGCATTTTGTTTAACCTTATTGTGCATTTTGCCGAACAAGTATTTTATGTGCATTCCAACTTTTTTGTAAAACTTTAATAATGTGTACGATGATGTGCATTTCCATATAAATTAGTGTGTATTTGATCTAACATTATTGTGCAGTATGCCCAACAGGTATTTTTATGTGCATTTCATTTTTTTAGAGAACTTTAATAATGTGTATTCCAATTATTATTATTGTGCATTTATCAAATTATTTATATTATCAAAATATATTTTATAGTTATAATTTCTTTATTTAATAATTTTTTATGGAAAATAAGTAATGTATATGTATAGATAAAATATAAATAAAAATATTTTTTGTATAGCTCGGTCCGTCATGTTATGTTATTTTGTTTTATTTTATTAACAAATCGAAGCTAAATCGAAATAACTGAAATTTTTAATATATGTGAAAATGCACACTAACATAACAACATTTTTTTTCTTCGCGCATGGTAATCGTGCGAAGTACACTTTTATGCTAATGTGCACTTAGTCTTCCACTAATGTGCTTTTGATAACACGTGTATTTTTAACAAAAAATTCAATTCACAAAATCCCTGCCTCATAATAAAGTTCAACAGGATCGGTCGTCAGCCTAATTGTTGACCTAAAAGAAGAAGAGAGGGGAAATGCATATTCATACACATATGGTACATTTTCCTACAATTTAATGTGCATTTATTGAAGTTTTTATATATTACAAAATTACAAATCGAAGAAGGTCGGGCATGGTCCATTGTGGAGTGAGTTGCTTCCCGCTTTTCTCCCATGGCCCGAATTTCCTAGGCCTTTTGACTCGGAGTTCTTATCTGTGAATGGATAACCAGGAGAGCAAAGTGAGACTTGGACCTTTTACCCTTTGAACAGCATGCCGGAACTGTATTACGTTTCAATTTGACCGACAAACTAAATTGCAATATAATGAAAATTCATACAATTGCAAATAAGTCCCTTGTACTTATGTAATTTCCAAAATGAAGCCCTTCAATACAAAATTTAGATTGAAGCTTTTCCGATCATCTCCCAGGTCTCCCCAGTTACCAGCAATGGAGAGTCACTGACGGAAGCTTTTTCCGCAACCGTCCTGGCTGTCTCAACTCTGGGTAGAACAGGTTTAGGCCATGGATGGAGTTGAACATGTCGTCGCCCGCCACTCCATGGCTTGAGCTGAAAGTGTCGTTGCCCCGTTCATGTCCGACCACCACGACTGAAGTGTTTGTCGCCTGATGTGCAGTCGCCCCGCCACCATCGACAATTCTCTCCGACGATTCTTCTAATGCTGAAGATGAAAACCTTTGTCGGATGAGATGCACGCTGTAGACGAGGACGACGAAGAAGCTGGTGTCGCCGCTGCCGCTGCCATTGCTGATTGTCTCTAAGAGCCCCTCCGGTGGTCGAGGACGTTGTCGGCGGAGTTTGACGGCTCTGTTGGTCGACGACGAGTCTGCGAGTCTGGTTCATGTCGGCATAGAAAGCGCTGTTGTTGTGGCCGCAGATACCGCGACGGGCAGACGTCGGTGACCTGAGGGANGGGGGAAGAGAGAGAGAGTGAATTTGAGTGAGAGATTGGTGTCACGTGAAGAGGTGTGTTTGGTTGGGGGTGGGGCCCACTAATGATGGATTGTTGAGAAATGTCTACATTGCCCATACTTAATGTAAAATTGCTGATTCTTTTTTACCGTTAGATGATTCAACCAGATGACTATGATATATTCTTATTTCTCACTGAGCACCATCCTCACTGGAGCGCAGCCCTATATATATAATAGATACAAAGATATAGGATGCACACTTTGAGTCATTCTAATAAATAGTATAAATTTTTTCGTATCCAAATAGTTATGTTATTCACAAAGAAACAAAGAAAATAATTAATAGAAAACTTGGAATGCAACTTCACACTATATAATTATTTATAAAATAATCTATAGTTATATATAAAGCCATCCTATATACTAGAAATAGTAGGCAGAAAAGTCAAAGGTAATTAATGATTGTTGGAAATAGAATGACATTATTTACAGATTTGTTTTGGTATTTATAGGCTTGACATTAAAGATTTGTTATGGGATAAAAATTAGAACCGGTTTTTTTTACCTTTGCTGGAAAAGTCAAAGGTAAGTATAGATTTTGTTTATATTATCAAATCATAAAAAGATATTAAATCCATATTGTTAAAAAAAAATAATTCATATAATTTTATAACAATTCTACTACATTATTTAATAGTATTCCTTTTTATTATATAATAAAATAATAATTAAATATTATAAGGTGAACAACAATAAGTAAAATTATTTCTTTCTCTTATATCAAAGGATAAATTTATATGCTAACATTAAATTATTATTAGTATAAATGTTTTAGTGAGATAATATATTAATTATTTTACAAGTTAGCCCTAACATGCTCATATTTAATGTTCTGGCTAAAAAAACGCTGGTTAAAAGATGTGGAAAAAAACTTATAATAACCCTATTGTTTTTTAGAATTAACGTTGATTAAAAGAGGTAGAAAATCGATAATAACCCTATTATTTCTTAGACTTAAACGGACAAAGTTGTGAAAATAACTCATTTAATATTTCTGTCATGTGCATCGCACGGGATACGTACTAGTTCTTTATAATAAGTAATTATATTTTATTGTTTGAGTTATCTACATTGGAAATAACATTTTAACTCTAAAATTTATTTTGATCATGTGAAATAGAGTGGTTGTTTTCAATGAATAATAATATATATATTTATTTTTTTATAAAAACCAGTAATGATAAATCTTACAAAAAAGTTGGCAAAATTTATTTGGAGATAATTAATATAGTTTTGGAGGGATTTGTTTTTTCTCTAAGCTTCTTTCACTTTAATATATAGAGATGTGTATGTATATATTATCCACATCCAAATATTACATCAACTTAAAACAAAGCTAGTCGATTACTGGAATAGTATAATGCACCAAAACTGAACAGTTTGTTCTTATTCATCATCATTGGTTCAAGAACAAGGTACAGGATTAATATCTAGTTCCAATCATACTTTTTGACATAATGATCAGTCTTATTTGATTTGGAAAAAAATAAACCTTCACTTCTTGCAGACCAATAGTTTGTTAGCTGGGATCCTATAGGGAATTTTCCGTGATAAACATCGAATGACTTTTGTCTTGATCCCCACCATAAATGACAAAAGAACAATGTTCTTCCCAAAGCATGCTCGCAAAATGACCAGTCAAAATCTTTATTAGTAGTAAGATTGTGATATCCGAGGTCATCGTCTTTTGACTGACAATGTAGTGTTAGCACTGGAGATTTTAGAGGGAGATTGTTAGTGACTTCAACATAGACCACTTCGCCGAATACACACCTGCTCTCTGAAGTTTGTAAGATACTGATGAACACCAAAAGGATGAGGACAAGTGCCATCATACTATTTTTCATTGTTCTCAGATTTATGTCAAGTTTAATTTCTTAACCAACTATGGTTCCTTTATACTTGATAGATTGAATAAGCGAATCTTACCAGTGCAAATGAAGGGATTTTCTAAAAATTACCAATATCAATATCAACATAATTCGTTATATGGTAAAAGAGATTTGATTATAAGAATTGTGGTACGATCCATCTAAGATGATCAACGAAATAAAAAAATAATAATTGAGAAATCATATCAATAATCAATGTCAATTATGTATTCATAATTCGTTCAATGATGACATAAACTCCACTACTACGGTGCCCGTGCGATGCACAGGAGCATTTATTATATATATATTTTTTAAAAGATATTTTTGTATTTAAATTGTCTCATGCCATTAAAAATTTCATGAAAATAAAATTTATATGTTATTAAACACTTCCTAATGTACAACATTATTGATTTGATTCTTTGGCACGTAAAGTACTACATAGGTGTTCAAATTTATCCAAAATTGCATATTATTAGTTAATAGTTCACAAATTTTAAAAAAATTAAAGGATCTTATTTATTGAACAAAATTAAAGTAGAAAAAAAAGTAAATTTTTTTAGGGATTTTCATCTATTATTTATTTTAAATCTAATTCTAAATTTCAATTAAGAAAAATTGAAAAGAATCATTAGTTAGTCCCGGAAATGAAACCGATTTTTTTATCAAACAAATTGATCCAATTTTTTTTTTAAACCAAATAAAAGAAATCAATTTTTTCTAAGAATGCAACCAAATTTTCCTAACATTGCACCAATTTTTGTACCAAACAAATTGAATTGAAAATAATTCTAATAAAAAATTGAAATAAATTGTTAATGTTTATGCAACTGTCTCTTTCCTACAGAAAATGATATGAACTTAACTAAAAAAAAAATGATATGAACTTACCAAAATCTCGGTAAAACATGGTTAAGAAAAAACATAAGAATCCAAAAAAAATTGATGCATTTAAATTTTGATAAGTTGCACATAATTTTTCCTAAATAATTGGATAAGGTGACTTTAAATATCAATGATGATCTGCTTTTGTTACCAAGAAATGTGGACACAATTTTGAATGTACATCACGTCCAAATATCAGTTTTATTTTAAAATAAAAATTGCATGTGGCTTTATCCAATTTACACAATTTTTTTGAAAGAAAAAATTATTCAATAAGATTGAAAGAATTGGTTAAGGATAATACAACTATTTGCTTCCTAATTAAATTTGTATCCAATTTCCACGGTTTTTATATTAATTTGTATTTAGAATTGTTTTACAAAATAATTGACATATTTTTTGCATAAGAATCTCCAAATTTGTTACCAAAAAAGATATAATTTAAATTTTGGTAAAAAAAAAATATGATACGAAAAATATGGGATTCAAATTTTGCCATAAGAATCTCCAATTTTGTTACCAACAAAATAGGAATTAGATTTTGTTACTAAAGATTCACATGTGTTTTTTTTAACTTTCTATTAATAGTAAGTCAAACATTATATTTATTTGGACAAACTTTCTATTAATGTATTTTTCCAACAACCTCTTTATATATATATAGATATAGATATAGATATAGATTATTAATACCACTATATGTTCTGAATATTTCACCCTAAAGGATGGGGATTAAGCTAGGATCCCCAACCTGTATATAGTCAAAACCTTAAATGGGTCGAGGTAAACGAAGGTCTACGCATGTCCAACCAAATACAAAAAACAAAGACGAGAAAAGGAAAATCCACCTAAAAGGGGAGTCTGAACCTGGGTTGGGAGGTTCCCAGACGAGCAGTCTGACCCACAAAATGGTCCGAAATATAAAAAATACACAAAAACTAAAAGGGTACTGAAATTTGAACGAGGGGTAGCCGTTCTGAGCCATCCGCATGTTCTCTACTTATTTTCGCTATCCGCAAGCGTACGACATAGCAATAGGTAGTGGCGAGCAAGGTCGTGTTCCACAGAAATTGTAGTTAAATTAATTAAGTACTAAAATAATGACGATTAAATATTATCTAGACTAATGAATTGGATGATGATTATGAACTAAGAAATTAAACTAAGAACTAATTTAACCAATAAAATAAAAAAAATAAAATAAGATACAAAAGATAGATTCTAGGTTATGCTTTCCTCGGAATTAATTCATGAATCGTTTATATTCATACAAACTTTATTTAATTTTACCAATCGTAGAGATAATCGCTAAATTAATTTCAACATTTCTCTCGAACAAGTTAATCATTACAACATAAAGCACATTAGGTAACATAAAAAAAGTGATACCTAATAGCTAAAAAATGTTATATAAATTTTAGGTAACACAATTATGGCGATGCAATTACTTGTGCTACATTTTGTCTATGGTAATACTTTTGATGACTTTTGATAACACTTATTTTTTGTGTTACATCTAACTAGTGCGTGACCCGTGCATTTATTTGGGGAATATTATATTTTAAGATGCATAATTAAATAAAAATTTTATAATAAGTAGGGAAATTGTACAATAAAATAGTATTCGATAAAGAAAAAATCATATATAATTTCTAAATTTATTTCAGCAGTAAATTTATTTTTCTCTTTATGACTTAGATTGTGATTAGAGAATATAACTTAATTATTTGCTACCTAGAAAAAGAACTTAATAATTTATAGTTAATTAATGGATTGCCACACTATAAAGAATGAATGGTTGATGTACCTTTAGTATTTAATTTAGTTTTTAAAAATTATGTGCAAAACATGAACTTTTTTATTTTTTAATAAACAATAATCTGTTATTTTAATAAGAAGATAATAATGTCTTACTTGTGTAGTCAAATTCAAATATTTAAGCCGAATAAGTCTATTTAATAATCTGTGTTGCTTTTATGTCAATTGAATTTTCCCTATTTCATTCATGTATTGTATATGATGACATTTACTTACTCTAATGAGATTTTATTTTCTGAATTTGTAATAAACAGATTTATATTATTTATTATTATTATTATTATTATTATTATTATTTTATAAGTATGCTGTGTTACTGGATTTTCTGTCAAATATATAAAAATCTGCTTATTATTACAGTAAAAAATGTTTTGATTTTTTGCATGGATGGATGAAATTTATTATTATTTTTTTTACAAATCACGGATGGATGAATTGATGGATGTGAATGGTTAATAAGCAGATTTATATTAATAATAATATTACCGTTATTAATATTATTATTATTGCTTTATAAGTAAATTCGACTGAATTTGTCGTCTTTTATTTTTCGTCAATGGATGAATGGATGGATGTGAATAGTTATATTTGTTGTATATTTTTTTAATATGAATGGAATGTTATGTATTAATGTTGCTACGTATATAGTGGTAGTGATAGTCTAGATTAATGTTAAATAATGACTAAATTAGAAAACATTAAAAAAAGATAAGTAATTAAGTAAACAATGATAGAATGCTTTTATTTATTCTAGCAGTCCGAATGCTTTTATTTAATGTTAATCTCTTTATATATACTAGTGCGTAACCCGTGCGACGCACGAGTAAACAATATTAAAGAATTAAATTATGATTATAAATTCAAGACGTGAGTAATTTGGAAGCAAAGAATTAACATCCTTATAGTCCTTAATATATAGAAATGCATAAACAATTTGTCAGTTTAAAGCATATAAAATATTAGTAATTAGACATTATTTCACGCTAATATTATGAGAAATGTTCAAAAGTATATTAAATATGGTCACGCTAATTTTATGAGAGATGTTTAAAAGTATTAAATATTAGAAATTAGTTTACGCAAATTTTATGAGATTAGATATATTTATATGATAGATATAAAATAAATATTGAGATGATACGCAGAATTATACAAAAGTGAAAAATTTATATAGTATATATAAAATGAATATTGAGATGATAATATGCAAAATTGTGAAAATTTTGCTACCATAAAAAAAGATTTGAGTATAAAGATTTTTATCATTATCATTTTGTGTGCCGATTCAAAATAGATATTGAAAAAATATTTTTAAAAAAATTGTTACCATAAATAAGGGATTTAGATCATATCTTTTGTATAGCTCATTGATAAATATGAATTGTATATTGGGTTATGATCATATCTTTTATATAGCTAATAAATATGAATTGTATATTATATATATCAATTTTTTAGAGCATCTACAATGCATTAGGTCTAGTCTTACCTATGTGGCATGTAAATAAACCCAAGTCCTGGATGACATGGATAAAACTATGTAAAATTGATAAAATTCACTCCAATGCAAAGAGACTAGGTCTCTACTTGGATCTAAAATAGACTTAAGGGTAGACCGGGTCTCTTTTTCTGGCTGCCACATCAGCAGGACCCAGTCTACTTTTGTTTGCATTGGAAAATACATTTTTTAGACCAGGTCTATTTCTTAGGTGGCATACAATTTTTTGTAATTGAACCCAAAGCATACATCACAAAACAATTGTCAACTTAATTAAAGGAGATTGAGAATTGACTAATACAAACGCAAACTAATAGCCAAATTATATGACAAATATTTTGAATGCAATTAATGAAATAAATTTATTTATTTAAATTATATTATATTATTTCCATTAAGAGTAGGTAATTACCTTAAATTCAAAACAATCGTTCAATTTAGAGAATTCAATTATTTCGAAATTTTTCCAATGGCTTTTGAGTTATCTAGAGTCCTAGACGCTTTCTTTAAACAAACTCCTAAATTTAAGGATTTTTTTAATGCAATCTGATTCCAAAAATGAGAAAGGATTTTTAATTTAAAAACTAAATCAACATTGAACAAGCTCCTTAATTTAAGGATTTTTTGAATGCAGTCCGAATCAAAAAATGAGAAAGGATTTTTAATTTAAGAACTAAATCAACATTGAACAAACTCCTTAATTTAAGGACTTTTGAATGCAGTCACATTTAAAAAATGAGAAAGAATTTTTATTTTCTGCCAAACCAGATAA